TATCTAAATATATATATATATATATATTTATTCTTGTTTTCAAGAGAATGGAAAAGGAATGTACAGGAAGAACATACATCACTTGCAATATCTCTTGACGCCTTTGCACTTCGGATTGGAATTGCATCAGCTCTCAGGTCAAAACCCTTCTTCTTGGCATCTTCCCAGGCTTGTATATAAAGTTTCTACAAAAAATAAGACAGAAAATGGCTGATCAATATCCTGAAAAATGTGATTTCTACATCTCATATTTTTTTTCTTGAACTTCTCATGAATGCATATTTTTGAAGATCTTTCAGGTTAAAGAAATGCTTAGTTAATTCTGAATTTAGTAAGTGTTTAAATGTTCTTACCTTGCTGACATTAGCTGAGTTGGCCTTGGCTAACAGAATTTCTGGGGTGTCAGGCATGACATGGATGGATGTTTTGTCTGCATCCCAAGCTTCTGTGTACAAACGCTACGAGAGAGGAAAATAGTCCTTTGAGAACATTCCCCTACGCATGTCATGGTAGAAGAACTGCAAGTTGGGAAGATGCAGTTATCAAAAATACATCCATGATATAAAAGAAAAGGAAACTTGAAGAAGAACAAGATATACATAAACAAATTATTACATTTGTCCAAAGGGATTATTTTACAAACTGCTAATGGCAGTTCAAGACCTGACTGAGCAAAGCTTCTCACTGAACAGCTCCTGAAGGAAACTTTGTGCCTCCTCATTATTTCTCAGGCTACTGACTGATTTTGGACTACTGAGAAACTGCTGTAGGAGGAAAACTGTATTCATACTTCAGTATAAGTTGTTTGATTATCATAGAATCCATCAGGTTGGAAAAGTCCAACCCTACCGTGGTCACTAGCCCATGGCACTAAGTGCCACATCCAGTCTCAGCTTGAAAACCTCCAGGGATGGGGAATCCACCACCTCCCTGGGCAGCACATTCCAATGCCTCATCACACTCTCTGGAAAAAAATCTCTTCCTAAGATCCAACCTAACCCTCCCCTGGCAGAGCTTGAGTCTGTGCCCTCTTGTCCTGCTGCTGGTTGCCTGGGAGAAGAGACCAACCCCCACCTGACTCCAACCTCCTGTCAGGGAGTTGCAGAGGGTGATGAGGTCTCCCCTGAGCCTCCTCTTCTCCAGGCTGAACACCCCCAGCTCCCTCAGCCTCTCCTCATGCCACTTGTGCTCCAGTCCCTTCACCAGCCTCGCTGCTCTGCTCTGGACCTGCTCCAGCCCCTCAATGTCCCTCCTGACCTGAGGGCCCAGAACTGAGCACAGGATTCAAGGTGTGGCCTCACCAGCACCGAGTCCAGGGGCAGAATCACCTCCTGGTCCTGCTGACCACACTGTCCCTGCTCCAGCCCAGGATGCCATTGGCCTTCTTGCCCCCCTGAGCACACTGCTGGCTCCTGTTCAGCTCCTGTCTCTCCACACTCCCAGGTCCCTTTCTCCTGGTGCTCTGCATGGGATTAGTATGGCCGAAGTGCAGGACCAGCACTTGGCCTTGTGCAACCTCATCCCACAAAGGAGGAGGAGGAGGTACTTAGTGACTTTCATCCTCCAGATCCCAGTTGCATTGCAGAAGCCTCACTTCCAGAGAACATAAACTATTTCCTCATAACTTGTTCAGAATTTCTCTTGAAAAATATGTGATTTGGGTGACTTCTTTCAGTACGTTTTTACCAAGTGCTCACTTCAGACTTCCCACTTCCCTGAGAGAAAAGCTTTCCTGTACTATGGATGAACTTGGACATCCACAACCAAAGTCTTTAGTTTTCCTTTGTATTTTGCATTTTTCACCTCACATACAAGTTCCATTAGCTGGTAACACTAGTGATTTTGCCAAGAAAAAACCCAACCTCACCTTGTTCATGATGTCAGCATTTTGCTTGGCTAAGACCATGGCCAAAGAATCTGTCACACTGGTGAATTTGATTTTGTCCGCGGGTTGACGATATTTCCTGTCACTGAGAATTTCTCCAGCCTTCTTGACTTTCTCAACTTCCAAGGAACCAATGGGAACCCATCCAACACCTCGCAGCCATTCCAGGTCTGATTTGTAAACAGCCTGAAAAGATTCAGAAGGTCATTATAAATGAGTCTTGTTCTAATTATGTGAAGAATTGCAGAAGAGCAGGAGACAGTTTTGACAACAATTCTATTTTTGAAGATTAAGTTAAGAATAGAAATAATAAGACGAAAAAGAAAAGAGTTATTGAACAACACCACAAATGTCAGAGTTACACACAAACTATGCCTCAGGCTAAGGACTGAGAAAACAGGACTAAATGTGTTTGCGGAAAGACTATTACACATTTCACTTCTATCAACATGTCTGATGTGACAAAGGCATAATATAGATCATATTAAAACCTGCATTACACAGGGATATTTCATCATATAACACAAATGCTCTGCTCACATCACTGGCATAGATCACGTCGTTCTGGTCGGGCAGACAGATCCACTGGTGCAGGATGTGCCGGTAGTCAACATCGCTGACCAACCCTTGGCATTTCTTGGCCAACACAATGCCCAGCATGTCCACTGGGCTACTGAAGCGTGTCTTGGTCTTCTCAAAGTCCTTCTTGTACTCCCTGTCACTCTGGATCTTGGCCACGTGCATCGACCACACCATCTTGGGGTCGTCCTCGATGTTTCTGGCCCCAATGTGGTGGCCAAGCTGCTTGCGATAACCTTCCTTGTACTTGTACTGAAACAAAGTGTACAAAGATATGAACTCATTCTTAACAGAAACCTTTTCAATATCAGCCTTGGTAGAAAATCAAGGAACACAAAAATCCATTATCCTCTGTCTCTCAGTGGTGTTGCCCCACCCAAGGAACAAAACCTGGCCTAGTCATTGCAGTCTTATTCCTGGTCTTATATATCTTGAATTTCCTTATGACACTACAACAGAATGATTATTTTCCTCCAGGATAGACAAACACTTAAACTTCTAAAATGGATTCACTAACATATCTGTTTTGGGGATACATTTTAAAGTATTCCCTTTTTTTGGATCAGAAATTAACTCGATTAACTTAGCATCAACTCTAGCATGGAATTTTGGACATTACTTGAACATCCATGGACACCAATGGAATTATTACAGGGGACATATAAATAATCCTCACATTTTCCTGTATATCTATTACTGTGATATCTACCTCATGCATAAAATACTACCCATTCCTCTCATGCACTGAAGGCATGTGGCAGCATCACTATGGAAAGAGATTTCAGTTCTGGCTGTTCTGTAAAGGATCTACATTAGCAAACCAAGGAACAAATACTCTGATTCTTTCCCATCACCAAACCCACACAGACATGGGAAAAGCTGCTTACATCACTGGCAATCTCTCTGGAGGCTTTGGCAGATTGGATGGGAATGGCATCATAACGCAGGTCGTAACCTTCCTTCTTCGACTCCTCCAGGGCCAGTCTGTACATTTTCTGTGGGGAGAAACATCCACACTTTGGTTTCTAAAGCAGAACTACGATTCTTGTTAAATACAACTCTGTGATAAAACAAATGAAGTCTGTAAACAATATTGTTAATCTTCAGAAAACTCAAATATTCTTCTGCAGAAAATAAAAGCATTCATTTCAAAGACCTGTAACCATACGGAAAATGATGGAAAACGGGAATCACTTAGGGAAGGCAAAGACAGGAAGAGTCTAAAAGATATTTATTTCAATATTTACCTACAGAAATTATTTCTCTTCTATGGTGGATGGTATAAATTAAAAGCCTGATTAGATACACAGGAGGCAAATTCCAGTGAAAGAACAACTCCGATTTCAGCACCGGAACTGAAAGTTTGAGGAACTGAACAATCTGACAATATCCTACATCAACTGACAGTCAGACATGACAAAACTGTACTTGTCAGACACCCCTGAATTGCCTCAACTCTTCAGTCCCACTCACCTGACTGTAGTTCAGCCTGTTCTGTTTGGCCAGCAGAATCTCTGGTGTGTCAGGCATGACATGGATCGTGGTCTTGTCTTTATTCCATGCGTCCGTGTACAAACGCTGAGGAAGAACAAAGGAAGGGATAAAAATGCCATTCCAAACCAGCCTAATGTCTCATTAAGTCATGGAAAACCTAAAGCATACTAATTAAAGTGACAGAAAACTGTATAGTGGGAGGTGTCCCTGTCCATGGCAGGGGTTAGAACAAAATGGTCTTTAAGGTCCCTTCCAACCCAAACCATTCTATGATGCTATGAAATACAACATGGATACACAGTTATGTGCTTAGACAGGTAGAGACAACATTAACGAAAGGAGAATTTATCTGTGGGAATTTAACACCACTTAGCAAACTCATGTTGCTTCAGAAGAATGAATAAACCTCTTTAGCATCACTTGGGCTGGTCAACTACACTTCCAGTCCTGTCTCCAGGGTTTAGGCAGACACTGTCACCAAATCCAGCCAGGACTCACCTTATTCATGGTGTCTGCATTCTGCTTAGCCAACACCATCTCCAGGGAATCTGTGACGCTGGTGAACTTGATGGTGTCTGGACGCTGGCGATATATTTTGTCACTCAGGATCTCTCCTGCCTTCTTGGCTTTCTCAACTTCCAAGGAACCAATAGGGACCCAACCAACGCCCCTCAGCCATTCCAGGTCAGACTTGTAGCAGTGCTGTTACAAACAACAACAAAAAAAAGGCACAGGTTATTTTAATAAAGTAAGAATAATGAAGTCACACGGTGCAACTGTTCACAGGTAAGTAACCTAAACACTGACTTTTAACTCAAAGATACTCAAAGCCCTACAAGAAAACTGTAGAAAATATAACTTCATTTCTTCAAGATTAGAAGTGAAATCATTCTCCAAGTTTCACAGAATGATAAACAGGCCAAATTCTGGAATTAAAGAATTCCATTCAAGTATCCATGAATTAACATATTGTTGGGAGACCTGACTTTCAATCAGCCATGAAACTTAAAAATCAGTCTTGAAACTCTGGTTCTACCACATTGGAATGGGATGGCTGATGTACCTATGTAAAATATCAAACATTCCCCACTGAAAACCAAATAAAGAGAACTCACATCACTCTGCAGGTCATAGGCTTGTCTGGCATGGATCACGTCGTTCTGGTCGGGCAGACAGATCCACTGGTGCAGGATGTGCCGGTAGTCAACATCGCTGACCAACCCTTGGCATTTCTTGGCCAACACAATGCCCAGCATGTCCACTGGGCTACTGAAGCGTGTCTTGGTCTTCTCAAAGTCCTTCTTGTACTCCCTGTCACTCTGGATCTTGGCCACGTGCATCGACCACACCATCTTGGGGTCGTCCTCGATGTTTCTGGCCCCAATGTGGTGGCCAAGCTGCTTGCGATAACCTTCCTTGTACTTGTACTAGAGACAAAGGATATCCAGAGTTACAAGGTGTATTGATAAAGTGATAAATAACTCAAAGAGCTTGACATATTCATTAGCATTTTGTTAAGAGAAAAATGTGATTTAGGTCTTTCTATTCTTGGATTAGTTTGCACATAAAAAGCATTTTAATCAGACATAATTACCTCAGATTTTTTATATAACTGCAACACACTTTCAATTCACTAAACATTTACTGTCACATACTCATGTTTGGTAGTCCACATTATTTTGCTATTAGATTAAACTGGAACTATGAACTCATTTTAAAGACTCTTTACAAAACACCTTGATGAAGGTGATGTGAGTTGGTCTTAAAACAAACACTGAAAAACCAGTATCAACCTTGATAGAAAACAAGGAGCACAAAAGTCTGTCATTCTCCCTCTCTCAGTGATGTTTCCTCACCTCAGAAGTGAAACCTGCCAGAGTCATAATGTTTTCTCCCTGGTTTTCTACACTGGCATATTGAATTTCATTATGACACTTCACCAGAAATACTTTTTGAATCAGAAATTCACTTGACTAGCTCTAGCATTGACTCAAATGCCTTTTGGATCATCCTACTTGAACATCCATGGACACCAACGGAATTATTACAGGGGACATGTAAACAAACCTCACATTATTTTGGTTATCTATTACTGTGATATCTACTCCATGCAGAAAAGCACTGACAGTTCATCCCCTTTGTGCAGTGAAGTTTTGGGGTCAAATCACTGCATTTAATATTGTCTGTCCTGTAATTTAAGACAGGATATTAACTAACAGTGGAACAAACTCTCTGATCATTTTCCAACACCAAAGCCACACAGAGATGGGAAAAGCTGCTTACATCACTGGCAATGTCTCTGGAGGCTTTGGCAGATTGGATGGGAATGGCATCAAAACGCAGATCATAGCCCTTCTTCTTCGACTCCTCCAGGGCCAGTCTGTACATTTTCTGTGGGGAAAAGATGCCCATTTTAGTTTGAAACAAGAAAACAATCACTTTTCAGTTAAGCACAACTCCGTAATGGATCAAATGAAGCCCCTAAACAATATTGTTAATCCTCAGAAAACCAAAACATTTTGAACACAGAGTCTAACACATACTTTATGTATTTCCATACCTAGCTCTAAAATTATTTCTCATTTAAGTTGGATGATATGTTTCAAAAGCCCAATTATATCTCAGGAGGCAAATTCAAGTGCAAAACCAACTCTGATTTCAGCACTGGAACTGAAAGTTTGAGAAACTGAACAATCTGACAATACCCTACATCAACTGACAGTCAGACATGACAAAACTGTACTTGTCAGACACCCCTGAATTGCCTCAACTCTTCAGTCCCACTCACCTGACTGTAGTTCAGCCTGTTCTGTTTGGCCAGCAGAATCTCTGGTGTGTCAGGCATGACATGGATCGTGGTCTTGTCTTTATTCCATGCATCTGTGTACAAACGCTGAGGAAGAACAAAAGAAGGGATGAAAATGCCATTCCAGAAACAAGTTAGTATCTCATTCATCATGGAAAACCTAGAGCATATCAGGTGAAAAGATAGGAACTATAACAGGGATAAACTGTTAGGTAACTACGTAGAGATAACATTAAGAAAAGGACAAACTGTTTGAGGGAGTTTAACACTTAGGAAATTCACACGTTGCTTCAGAAGAATGAATAAACCTCTTTAGCATCACTTGGGCTGGTCAACTACACTTCCAGTCCTGTCTCCAGGGTTTAGGCAGACACTGTCACCAAATCCAGCCAGGACTCACCTTATTCATAGTGTCTGCATTCTGCTTAGCCAACACCATCTCCAGGGAATCTGTGACGCTGGTGAACTTGATGGTGTCTGGACGCTGGCGATATATTTTGTCACTCAGGATCTCTCCTGCCTTCTTGGCTTTCTCAACTTCCAAGGAACCAATAGGGACCCAACCAACGCCCCTCAGCCATTCCAGGTCAGACTTGTAGCAGTGCTGTTACAAAAAAAAACACAACACAAACCCAAACCATACAAAGATTACTCTAATACTAACAATACAGTTTACATGGGGCATATTTTCAGTTGAGTAATTTCACTGTCAACTTTATCAACTGATTTAATCAAATCCAAAGCCACAGAGAAAATGGTAGAAAAAACCAACGGCATTTCATCTACCTTAAAGAGTGAAGCATTATCCAGGTCTCACAGAAAGGTAAATAATAAACCTCCAATTCTGGAATTACAGGATTCCATTAAATATCCATGAATTAACATTGGTTGGAGACATGAGCTTAAATCAGCCATGAAACTTAAAAATCAGTCTTGAAACTCTGGTTCCACCACATTGGGATGTGATGGCTGATGCACCTATGTAGAATATCAAACATTCCCCACTGAAAACCAAATAAAGAGAACTCACATCACTCTGCAGGTCATAGGCTTGTCTGGCATGGATCACGTCGTTCTGGTCGGGCAGACAGATCCACTGGTGCAGGATGTGCCGGTAGTCGACATCGCTGACCAACCCTTGACATTTCTTGGCCAACACGATTTCCAGCATGTGGGCTACTGAACTGAAGCGTGTCTTGGTCTTCTCAAAGTCCTTCTTGTACTCCCTGTCACTCTGGATCTTGGCTACGTGCATCGACCACACCATCTTGGGGTCGTCCTCGATGTTTCTGGCCCCAATGTGGTGGCCAAGCTGCTTGCGATAACCTTCCTTGTACTTGTACTGAAATACAAATCAAGAGATCCTCTTTCTATATCACATGAAATATTTCTAACAACAAATTCTCCAAATATCTCTATGACCTACCATCAAAAAATCCAACCACTCCAAGCATTTCTGGGGCTGTAACGTGATTCCTATGGCTAATTCTTTGGCTATTTGAGTTAGAAGCCTAAATAGGAATTTTTCAGTGAGCTCTTTAGGAAAAGCACTTCAGTATTAGTAAGAAATAATACTCTCATTAAATTGACTTAATCCTGATTAAACAGACTATACACTCTGCTAAGACTTAATTAAAGGGTTATGAGTTACACAAAGAACAGAACACAGCTCCACATTGCCCCTGTGACTTCTCGGGATCTAATTTTTCCACATGCAAAATAATTTCCCTCTGAGGTCAGAGATTAGTTGCAATGCCTTGTGCAGAATCCAGCTGGTAACTCTTAGCTTGCAGAGCTGAGATGTCAGCATGGAAAGGAACAAGAAAGGAGATTCTTACGTCACTGGCAATTTGCCTGGATGCTTTGGCAGCTTGAATGGGGATGGCATCGACTCTCAAATCATAGCCTTTCTTCTTTGCCTCTTCCAGGCCTTCTCTGTAGTGTTTCTAGGGGAAGAATGAAACCATGGGATGCATATAAATTCCCTATATTACATTCCATGCAAAACAAACTGTAAATAGACTTGAAAATTGTGTGAAAGTTTGTTCTAACCCAGGTTTAACTTAAAGCCACAGATTCATTGTTAAGGAAGATCTTTGTTAAATCCATTCACTAATAAATTTTTCGGATACTACTTCAAATAACATAACACTGACCATAATTCAGAGCTAACTAACTATTTAAAGCCACCATTAACTGATATGAATTTTTGGGCCTAAAATCCCACTTGAACCCATGGATCATTGCTTTGCAGAACTGTTCTGGAAATCACCTTCTGGGTATAAATTTTGTGCCTTCCCCATGTTATGTACATTGACAGAAATGACACCCAGAACTTCAGTGGAGACACACAATTCCCCATGGAATTCACTCTCACTAGTGCTCACTGGTCTATGTATGCACTACTACAACAAATATGCAAATAATCATAGAATCACAGAATCATAGAATCAATCAGGTTGGAAAATACCTCCAAGATCATCAAGCCCAGTCCTACCGTGGTCACCAGCCCATGGCACTAAGTGCCACATCCAGCCTCAGCTTGAAAACCTCCAGGGATGGTGAATCCACCACCTCCCTGGGCAGCACATTCCAATGCCTGAGCACTCTCTCTGGAAAAAATCTCTTCCTAAGATCCAACCTAACCCTCCCCTGGCAGAGCTTGAGTCTGTGCCCTCTTGTCCTGCTGCTGGTTGCCTGGGAGAAGAGACCAACCCCCACCTGACTCCAACCTCCTGTCAGGGAGTTGCAGAGGGTGAGAAGGTCTCCCCTGAGCCTCCTCTTCTCCAGGCTGAACACCCCCAGCTCCCTCAGCCTCTCCTCATGGCACTTGTGCTCCAGTCCCTTCACCAGCCTCGTTGCTCTTCTCTGGACCTGCTCCAGCCCCTCAATGTCCCTCCTGAGCTGAGGGCCCAGAACTGAGCACAGGATCCAAGGTGTGGCCTCACCAGCACCGAGTGCAGGGGCAGAATCACCTCCTGGTCCTGCTGACCACACTGTTCCTGCTCCAGCCCAGGGTAAGGAAACTGATGATGTTATCTATATGAAGATCACCAGCACATTCCTGGTCTAGCCATAGCACAGACCAGTCACACCTGGAGAGATAACACACTCACCAAGCTATAGTTCTTCTTGTTCTCTCTTGCCAGGGTGATTTCAGGTGTGTCAGGCATAATGTGGACCTGTGTCTTGTCTTTATCCCAGGCCTCAGTGTACAAACGCTGCAGGAGAAACAACACAGGTTAAGGGAGGAACAAATACCACTGACTACTTGGAGATCTCCTAAAGCATAAGAAGACTTAAAGATCTACACTCAGAATCTAAAAAAATCCTAATTCTATCAGGTTTTATATTTACCTCTCTAGATATGCTAATTACAGGTTAAGAATGAAAAAATCTGGAACGAATTCTGTTTAAAAATACTTAGAACAAAGGCACAGAGAGTTAATTGGTCACAGAGAGACCTAAGCTCTAAGAACAAGGTCTGTTTGAAAGACAAAATGGTTCTGTTGACATGAATAAGACTGAGATCAAGGCCACAGGTTCAGAAAGTCTCCTAGATTTTCAGTACCAAGCTGAATTTATTAACATATGGGTATTTCAAAGACTGCCCTAAAACAAGGAGTTTACTAACTACTAGATCATGAGGAAAACTTGATTTATTAGACAAATTGATGCATTTGAATCAGGTGAAAGTTAGAAAAAACATTACTAGATGCAAAGGAAGTATATGGAAATCTTCACAAGTGATAATTGTGACAAGTTCACTCGGCAACTTGGAAGATATTATTAAATTAGCACTTGCTGAAAATAAGTTACCTGTTCATTGCCAAGAATGGAACTTAGACTTCAAAAGCCTCACTGTGCTGGAATCTCACAGCACATCTGTAGTGCTAGTCCTGTCTGCAGGGCTGGGGCAGAGACTGCTGATGTGTTACCTCATCAAACCAAGACTCACCTTATTCATGGTGTCTGCATTCTGCTTGGCCAACACCATGGGGAGGGAATCAGGGATGCTGGTGAACTTGATTTTGTCTGGAGGCTGACGGTATATTTTGTCACTCAGGATCTCTCCTGCCTTCTTGGCCTTTTCAACTTCCAAGGAACCGATGGGGACCCAACCAACGCCCCTCAGCCATTCCAGGTCAGACTTGTAGCAGTTCTGGTACAAAATACCAAGGCAGCAATCTCACCAATATTGCCAGTTATACACCTATATACACCATGCAGGTGCTGCTTAGTTTCTTTAAGTTGCCTTCCATTTCCTCCAAGACAGAACAAAGGAATTCTCTCCACTAAAGTAATGAAATTATAAAGAAAGTAAGAGCCATACAAAACAATTTCCCCCTAATATGTAGTTAATCAGCATATAAATGAATTAAGATTGCATATTATGAAGGATTTAATGCAGTTAATTGTACAGATAGACTACATAT